TATTTCGTAGACCTTATGTTTCAAACTATCCCAACTCTATATAAGTCACTTATTTGTTCATGTACCAGCTACGGTAATTTACCCTTGTGGTTAAAGGTAGAGAAAGCACTCGATCCTCTCCCATGATCTTATCCTTGGAGAGCACAACCTCATACTAGGCTGCTTTTTTTTTTTTAAATCAAGGATTTTGAAATGCAACTTAAAACACACCATCTTGGATAGTCAGTGGAATCAAGTTGGAATTCCTTCCATGTAGTACTCGTGATTCAGAGATGTGTGTCTAAAAGCTGTAATACAAAAATTACCACTGATAATTGGATGGCAAACTAACATGCAGACTTGGGTAGCTCAGAGGGCAAACGCGTGGCCAGGATGTCGCCATACTGTAAGCCTCGGCAAATCAGTCCCGGAAGGCCCTGCTGCACGGGTCCCCTCGCCACTGCACGAAACACAAAAGGCTGCAACCAGTCAAAGTTGTCACAAGATTGACATGGTTTCTCTGGGCCACAGAGCTTCGGTTCAAAGAGGGTGATGGGAACTGTTCCCATGCACAAGGAAGGCCTATTGAGGATTGTGTTGAAGTAGTTTTACTGAAGAAACAAGGTATCAATTTGTATTTGGATTTAAATCTGTCAGTGACATCAATTCATTCTACTTCTTCGGTTGGTAAAACAAAAAACAGATAATGACCTGAAGTTTTTCTGGTTACCAAATAAGTGGATGATTTATGCAGTGATGCATTAGGTTAAGGCAAAACCTAATTCTACAAATTAACAATAAAATTTTTACTTAAAAAAAAAAAAAAAGATAAACAAGGCTGGCCAGTGTGGCTCCGTGGCTGAGCTATGAACCAGGAGGTTAGAGTTCGATTCCCGGTCAGGGCACAGGCCCAGGTTGTGGGCTCGATCCCCAGTGTGGGGCATGCAGGAGGCAGCTGATCAATGATTCTCATCATTGATGTTTCTATCTCTCTCTCCCTCTCCCTTCTTCTATGAAATCAATTAAAATATATAAAAAAAATTTTTTTTTACTTAAAAAGGCAGTATTTAATACTGAATGACTATCTCACAGAACTGTGATTGTCTCATAAAGCTTCTTGGTTAACAAGAGAACTAGCACAATTTTAAATTTAAATAATAATTCCTCAACTGCATGCTCACCTCCGACCCCTTTCCTTGATATCTGAGGGAAGGGAAGTAATAAGCCCAGGATTTATTTTTCTCAAAGTGACCTACTTGATAGCATTGCTTTTCATTGTAACCAAAGCTACAAATGCAGGCTTTATAATGACCATCTCCACAGTCCTCACCTCACAGCCTCCTTCCCCGTCACTCTCCGTTACCCTCAACCACCACAAACACCTTCTGAGCACATGGATGCTGCTTCCCTGTGACCTCACTCGTCCCAGCACAGGGCCTCGCGAATAGAAGCAGCTCAATACCCACTTGCTGATGGGAGTTCAGAAGAGAACTGGGCAGACTGTGCAAGGCGCCTGCCTGTCCTGCACAAGGAACGGAGACAAGACACGCAGGAGAGAGGCAGCTCTAGCTGCTGTCCAGAGCTCCTCCCCCTGCCCAGAGAGGAGCTGTGGGTCGCAAGACTCCCTATGAAGCAGGAGGAAAGTCGCTGTAAGAGGCTTTTTGCAGCACATGTAAGAGATCAGGGTCAACACCGTAGGGTCCCATCTAGGAAATGCATTTTCCCTGGGGAACCAAGTACACGTGATGGAATTTTTGCGCATGGGTCAGTTTGGGGTGAATCAAGAACATTCTTAAAACACTCTAAAGCACTATCTGCTCTAACGGCCTTCAGTCTAAGCCTGCTTCTAACAATCCAGCCAGACGGAGCTTTTACTCTTTAGCAGCCTCCAAATAACACTAAAACCATTTTTGCCAAAAATTAACTCATTGATGGGGGTAAAAAGCACCCCTCCCCCAAGACATTAAAAATCTACACTTTCTTCAACTTGCTGCGCATCAAATATTGTCTGTTTGGTATAAATGTCTACTAGATCCCACACACCATCTTTGGCTTATCAGACTCATAAAAAATTCCTTTTAGTAAGAGGTCAGAGGACACAGATTGTTGAGGCCAAGGACTTCTACTCTGACAAAGCAGTGACCTCTGGACAAGGCCTGTGTCTTGTCTCTGACCTACAACTTACACTGTTTAGGAAATACTGAAATTTCGCTTTCTTAGGCCAACGGTGGCTAGACCTATGGTCAAGGACCCCCTCCTGCCCCTTTCCCAAAGCAGCGCTCTTACCCACCCTCAGAAGGGAGCCAACTCCACCCAGGGGGTCTTCTTTTCTTTCTATCAAGTATTTAAAAAACAAACCATAACTTGGTAAAAGGTAGTAAGAGTCTGACTCAAAGTAGCATGGAAAACTCAGGAAAGCAGTGGTTTGTAACCTACTTATTATACTAAACCTTTCTTTTTATCCATAGTATTTGACTTGTTTGAAATTAACAACATTTTTTTCATGTACTTAAGTCAATCAACAGCCACATGTAGACGCATCCAGTTTACCTGAGGAGACACCAGAAAACGACTATTAAAAAAGTATAACTAGTGCCTGGCTGGCGTGGCTCAGTGGTTGAGCCTCGACCTATGAACCAGGAGGTCATGGTTTGATGCCCAGTCGTGGCACAATCCCCAGGTTGCAGGCTTGACCTCCAATGGGGGGTGTGCAGGAGGCAGCCAATCATTGATTCTCTCTCTTCATTGATGTTTCTCTCTCTCCCCCTCTCTGAAATCAATAAAATTATATTTAAAAAAAAAAAAAAGTATAACTGGTGCCTGGCTTGTGTGACCCAGTTGGTTGAGCATCATCCCATGTACCAGGAGGTCAGTGGTTCAATTCCCTGTGAGGGCACATCCGGTTGCCGGCTCAATTGCACGTGTGTGTGTGTGTGTGTGTGTGTGTGTTTTTGCAGGAGGCAGCTGATCGATGTTTCTCTCTCTCCCCTCTCCCTTCCTTTCACTCTAAAATCAATAAAAAAACATGTTTTAAAAAAGGTATAACTGGTGAACCTGTACAATGGGTACAAGGTCATTACATTCTTATTTTGTGTTTTAAAATCTCTATGTTAAAAAGGCGTAATACTTTAAAAAGGCTTTTAAATGTAAATTTATGCCAAGTGGAAAAAACCCCAGCATGTATTTCAACCTCTTCGGTTGCCTCATATCCAAGCCAGAGTCCAAGCAGCACACTTTCCTTCTCTAGCTGGTTCTTTCACCCTTTCTCCAAGCCCTAATGTGCACCCGTAAAAAGATGCCAATGGGAAGGACCAGCTTACTCAAGTAGAATGGTGCTGAAACAATCCAGGCAAGACACGAAGTTTTAAATAGAGACTTTGCAACATTCTTGAGATGTGACCTCAAGAACTCAGAATCCAATTACTATAAATATGAGATTATCGTTTCAAGGAAAGTCATTGTATAATGTTCCTTGAGGTAACATAAAAGCACCAATAAATCCAACTTAGGTATGCAGGTGGGTCTACACTAGCTTTTTAACTGTTGGTCCCAAACCTTTGTCTCTCCCCTAAGCTCCCAAACAATTCCATTCAGCAATAAAACGTACTACACCAAAATGCCTCCCTAAGACTGGAGTCAAGCTAGTTACAGACTAAAACAATCTGAATGGAGCTGAAATGAAATGTTAGAGTATCTTTATGCCGTGCCTTTGCGCTGCCTTAGGGGAGAGAGGGGGCACTAACCACTATTTCCCTGCTGCAGCTTGAGACCATCACAAAGGAACAGACAGCAGCACTGTCCTGCGAACGCTGAGGAGCGCGATGCTGGTTTGTAAGTGTGGTTCGGCTTTGAGACAACAGACACCCAACTGGCTCCTGGGGCAGCACATTCCACAGGTTGATGCACACACCACTCCATTAAACCTGATTTTTATTTGCTCTTAAAGCAAAGCCTTTCTAATTAAGCCTGAGGATGAACCTAACATACCGGACGGTCGGAAGACTGGAAGGTCGGTGCTACAGGGACCCGGCAGAGGCGGGTGCAGGCGGCAAACCCCCAAGGACCGGCATAACTTGGAGCCACTGCAAGTGGCTGGAGGTGGTTCCCGGCCGACCCAGGGGAGTCCCCAGGCTCCCCGCGACCCCTCACCTGATTGAACTCCTCGTCGGCGTAGATGTCAATCAGGTCCACTCCTTCGGACATGGCTCCGGAAGGCAGATCGCGAGCCCGGGACACGGACAAAGTAAGGAAGACGCCACTGCGATATCCAGAAAGAGGCAAGGGTTAGCGGGCATGTGGGTCCCGGGGTGGACGGAGGGCGATGGT